ATTTTATTTTTTTTCGTTTATCAGATTAGAACTTTTTTAAGTAACACTATTTTTCATCATCTATCCACTTCATAAACTGGAGTTGGAACTTGTCTAGTATTATAGTTGGCAATACATTTTCGAACTTTTGGTTGTCGGGATTTAGAACATCCCGGATTCAAAGTTTGATTTTCAAACTTCTAATACGCGAGAGTCTATAGCGGTATTCTCAATATGGGAAACTAGAATGACCGACAGACGCTTAAGTTATCGTAATCATGTTTTGTTATCGGTTTTTGAACAGGTTTGTAATATTGTATCGACTCCACCGTTTTGCCTGTAAAATGGTTGAATATTTCATAATATGAGCAGGGGTGGCCAACACGTCGATCGCCACGTCTCGCGTGGTCGATCGCGTCTGATGTTGAATGAATTTGATAAAACACCTGAAAAATATGCCTTGAGCCAGTGTCATGCAGCGCATGTTGTGTGTTTTAAAACAGGAATAATTCATAGGCATGCGCAAAATACGATATACACATATAGTATATGAATCTGAGCACGCCCGGTTCAGCATATTCCTACGTAACAAATGCAAGTTTCCCCGCCGCCATAGTTTAAAAATGAACTTGTCAAATTATCTTGAGTCTTGAATGACAAACGATCCTACAATAACTTCTGCAGTATGCAGAAGTTTTATTTTATTGAGAATTTATAAAATTCAATTTATTGGGAACATTTTATTCGTAGCGGTAGCAGTGGCATCAGAATTTCCAATTTTTCTAATTCCAAGCGAGTGAAGAATCGGATTCGGAGGAAATTGTAAATTAGAGTTTGCTCAGTCATGTAACGTGAATGGTTTGAGAATATATATTTAATAACAATACATGGTACTAACACTTATATACTTACGACTGAAAATTAGGCAGGCCCTAGATCTGAATTGTATGACTCGAATAAATCTTATATAAATGACGAAACCTTTACTCCGGGTACTCAATTATTCAATTTATCAAATAGAATGGAACATGAAAAATACAAATTTATGTTTCAATTCCATTAAGAATGCCGTGATTATTAATAGCGGTGAAATTTTTTGTATGCGTATGTGCAGTTATCTGCTTATTCAGTACCAGGGTTACCATATGCATAGAGCCAAAAATAAGCACGGGTGTCGAAAGGTTATTTTGGGGGTACCTAAAAACGGCAAAAATGGGGAATAAAAATGAGAAAGGAATCATACACTATTCTCATCCACACTCCTATTTTTATCCGCACATGTTTTATTAGAAGCCGCTTCGAACAAGGTTGCGTGCGGCGATGAAATCACAGAAGGCCATGGAAAGCCACGAAATCACAGACACACGCAACCAATAAAATGTAGAAGTTACAAAGAAAGGTAGACACAATACAACATTAAACATTCAGCATTCGACGTATTGAACAGGAAACAACAACAACAAGGGCGTCTGGGCCTATTCAATGAGAGGTGCATCCCATCTACCCCAAAATGTTCGTAACGTATTAATTATTAAATGACATAAACACATACTTTTAAATATTAGCTTTATTGAGCCAAAATATAGGTCAAATCATTTATATTTATCGCTACCAACAATTTTGCAGTCTTTCGTTATTGGAAATCAGGTTCATTTTAGAGCAACTGAAGTCTAAATTTACCCTGACTTGTATCAGAGCTCTGACAGATTGTTCACTAGTTAGAGGGTTTCTTTCATAGGTCCCTCGTTTCCACGGAAGCTTCGTACGCAAACGATACGCATACACGAGTCATTCATGTTTCCAAGACAAAATAAGCACGAAACTAAAAAATACGCACTTTTCTCAGAAATAAGCACATCATTACGTTATAAGACATGGGTTTAGAAAATAAGCACAACTCTTAGAAATAAGCACGATATGGTAACACTGCTTATTACCAATTAGTCGATCTCGGTCGAAAGCAGGTTGGCCACTCCTGATATAGAGTACAGAAGAATTATTTGTAACTGAAGCTCTAGCAAAATGGGAAATTGAATAATATTACTGATAACCACATAATATTTAGATATTTTATGGCATTATTTCCATCCCTTATGATGCTCAATTTCTTTATGTGGCAGGATGATTCATTTGTTGGCGTAAATGAATTGCTGGAGTTTGTGAAGAATATTTTGAATTTCATATTATTCATATGTTTAATTCGTTGGTTCGCAATCTAATCAGAGACAATACGATATTTCAATGGAAGATTACCTTATATTTTCTTATTTATTTGTGGATCGAAGATTGCCAACCATCACTGGCGGTAAGAAAAGAAGAAGAAAAGAGTCGTGCGCCCGTTAAGACGTTATTGAAATGAGCCTAACATTTATTGGAACCTAATTTATTGGACCCAATAAAACCTAATAAACGTTCACCACCGAATGCCGAAGTCTTTTTGTCAATACTGCACTTTTCTCCTGACACTGCACAATCTATTTGAAATTTCCAATACTCGAAGATAAATGAAGTCGCTGAAAGGCTATTATATTTATTTTTATTGTTCTACGGTGCGCAATATTTCATTTCACAAAATACGTTGCTATTTTATTTTCATCCATGAAAACACTTTTATATGATAATCAGCTTTTGTGTCCATATATTGCATAGTCGACTCCGATTAAAGATAAAATTTGACGTAATGGTGTAACAAAGTCACTAATTCCATTTAAATTTGAATTTCCTAATATCACTGATATTCTAAAATGGGTTTTAAAAAGTAGCTGACTTTGAAAGTTCATTCAGTTACAAATATAAATCGCTGGAAACAGCTGGTTTTTGCAATTTTTAACAAATATATCATTAATCTATTTTAAGCTGTTGCTACTGAGGGTCGAAAGGTCAAATATCCTCTTTCTAGTGATTTGTACCCGCAGATGCAAGAAAGTCTATGTAAATAAAGGCGCGCCCGCGTTTTCATCCAGGTATTTGTATCTGGACCTTCTCTATCAAAGGATACACACCCCTGGACTAAAACATTATTGGAAATGACGATGAAAGGTTGCATTGTGGTATACCGTAACTGTTGTAATTTCAGGGTTTGCTCCGCTAACACGAATATTGCTTTTAGATTCCACAAAGCGATAGAAATAATTATGACTGGATATCTGGGCGACATTTGAAAACATGCTGATATGATCCACAAGAAAATTTACTGATTCAACAATTTTGCTATATATCAGCTTTGGTACTATCTCGTTTATTGGACACGTCAGTGTACATAACGATCGTTTCAATATTACGTTGTTGTTGTTATTGTTCTTCTCTTTCGTCATGATGAAATCGCGTTTCTCTTCGAATACTGGACCAATTGCTTTGAAATTTTCAGTGATTAATTGAAGATTGATTTTTTTTTTCCACAAGGCTATTACTTTTACTTATTTCGAAAATTTCTGTGGACTTCATGAGATTCGTTTTTTATGTGTCAGAATGTAAAATAGCGACCCCTTGTGACGTGTCCATATATTTGAGCACAGCTCTCTTGTTTCCTAAATCACTTTATTTTATTGAGTTGAGAACTTGAGAGTTTAATATTAAATAATAGAAAAACGAGAATATCGGTCAGAGACCGAAGACTTATCGATCGAAAGTTAGAGGATTCCCAAAACAGCAATTTTACTCCATAGTGACACCTTGTGTCCCATCACTGTTTAATTAATAACTCGCTAATTATACGACATAATTCGCCCAAAATTAATAGGCTTCTGTTCTGGGATATGATGAATGCACATGCAAAATCTGGAGCAGATTAAACCACGCCTTCGTGAGATACCGCGTGCATCTAACAGAGAGACAGATAGACAAATATCTATCAACATACCGATTAAAATCGATAAGTAATGAGTTTGAGTTATCTGGATTTGAATGCTTGTGTCAGATCAGTAACTTTACCGACTTCGCGAAAGGTCAATTTGATTTGAAACATAAATACTCCGTCTACCATATTCCCAACAACATCGCCGTAGAATAAATGTCGCCTCAGAGTGCAGCTCCCAATTTGAAAAAAAAAAACAGATTCTGGCCACAAAAACTTTTTCTATGCCATGCATAATAAACTTAACTCTTTTTTAGTTACCTTGCAAGTGTCGACTTGAAATTTTTCGGAGTGTAAAATTGGCATCAATGACCAAAGGTTTCACTCACAAATGTTGTTTCGTTCTCAGAAATCGTCTCCGTGGATGTAACGAAATGACACTCAACAGCATGGAGCGCTGTCAACAGTCAGATCATTGTTGTTTCAAGGTCCGCCATTCACCTAATAAACCACCACAGAAACAACCAAATCCACAAAGCAATTAACATTCTGGCAGCATCGGCATTTTTGTTTACAGTAGATAGGTAGCGAAAAATGAAACAAAAAACGTTTCCTATACATTTAAACTTCGTCAAACCCTATTTTTAATGTATATAGCTTGGTTTAGACGGGTTTAACTTTAAAATGTATTACTTTTGTGTTATACAATATATGTGTCAGACTAGGGGTTAATGTCGATTGGTAAAATTTATAAAACTGACGCTTTAATATATGATAATTTAGTTTCGAAGATCGATCTACCAAGAAACAAAGCCTATGCGTCACGCCGACTAATATTTCTAACAATAGGACAAGAACAAGTGTACCGTGACGTCTGTTCGGTGAAGTGGTATCCGATACTTTAGTTTCATTTAGACGAGATGATTCAGATTGTATTACTTTATTCATAGTAAAATCATTCGTAAATTGGGTGGGATTGCATTTATCTGTGTTTTATATTACTAGTAGTAAAATAAAACATACAAAATACTTGGTACTGAGAAACTTGGTTATGATTGGTCTTTTGAGTTCATTTTTCTGCACGTTATTTTTAGGCACTTCCTGATTACTAAATACCACACACTGATGAGAATCACATGAGTACCATATTCTGCCTTTGCACTTAAGTTTCGCGGGAAGATATATAAATGGTATCCAAAATTTAATATTATTTTTGTTTCAAGTATCCTAGCAATTGATGAACAAGTACTTAATTGTAGATTAATCATTTCTTCGGAGTTTTAAGTATGGAAGATTTATTAGAATGTAATATTTGCATGGAACCTTTTGACGCCACTGAAGAAAGAATTCCGAAAATTCTATCCTGCCAACATTCGTTTTGTATGTCATGTTTAGCAGCGATTTTAAAGAACAACAGGTATGTAAAAATACGTATGGTAGCCATGGTATATTCCTATATATGTATGCAAGCTAAGTTACAGGTTGTGTTGGTGCGTTCGTCCCTATATTACACAAGTCTGCCCTGTCAGGTCTACTGGTTCCTGGTCAATTTATTGCAGATTCTGTTGATAGAGAGACCAGCGTTGTACGCAGGGTTTCGGTGATGCGTTTTTAAAAATTTATGTCGTCATACTCTTTATTTTGCACAGTGGGAAAATACACTGTGGCGTCATAGTGGATTTTAAATACATTAAATTATCATAGTAATTTCCGTAGATGCCGTATGATGTCATAAACGTTTTGGAGATCATCGTAAACTATAGAATTACAGGTATAAACAAGTACCGTGTTTCTCCGAAAATAAGACCTAGCCTGGGTTTCACAAATGACTTTAATATAAGCCCTCTTAAAACAAGACCTAGTCAATAACGCGAATTTTTTTAGACCTAGTCAAAAGCATGAAATCTCTCCTACACGTTTTAAATGATATCGGTTTTCATATTTTGTATATTTGAAAATCTCATAATTATCTACTATGTAATTTTGTTTTTGGCAAATGAAAATATCAGACATCCTCCGAAAATGAGTCCTCTTGGTATTTTTCAGAACAAAATTGAAAAAAGACCCAGTCTTATTTTCGGGGAAACACGGTATCGGTAATAACTTGAATTTAAAACATCTTAAAGAACTCAAGAGCTGTGAAAAACGTCGTGGTACGAATGAGCGTGACGTCATAATACCTATATCTAGTCGATGACCTATGTAGGATGTAGCCTACACTAGAAACACTGTTTTCAATAAATTTTTGTCGGTTATTAAAAGGCTTGCTGTGTCGTTACTAATTAGAGGACATAAATAAAACTTGAACGATGTATAAATACATCTTTAGTTGTGTTTGGCGGGGATCATCCCACATCAACACAGATTACATTATGTCTACGATTAGTATTATTGCGAAGTGATTGCTGATAACCAAGCATTCTCTTGCCAACGAAACAAAATGTTATAGTGATAAGGTAGGATTTTTTCTTCACCTGGCATTATTCGTGGCGCATATGCTTGATTTAAAAAAATTAGGACAAAAATTTTGAACTGTATACAAATTATAGATATTCCATAACACAGACTTTCAACCTGTATCCATGGTTTCAACAGATGTTGATGCAGTCAGAGAAGTCGCTGTTGAATCTTTTTGCACGCATTCAAACATGGATTATAGTTCTGCACTTGACCATATGTTTATATACTTCAGTATATGCTGCCCAATATGTCGTCGCAAGCAGAAATGTAAAAGCGTTGACGAACTTCAGAATAACCTGTATGTTGTGCGTCTGCTTGATTTGCGGAAGACAACCAAACAGAAGAAAAAATGTCAGGTTCTTTCCCCAAAATATTTATCATATACGTTCATAAAATAATTCATTTCTTATGTAGTCTATATACAATGTGTTGACGGAATGAGGAATTTCAACATTTGTGATTTAAATCAATTTTGAAGATATTCGTTAAAATATATGCTTCATGTTGATCGCTATTTCACCTCACCCATTGGATAACAAAACAACATATATATTGAATTACAAAAAAAATACATATTGAATTCTTTAGATTTGCTATTTTTGACATTGTGTATATAAGCACACAAGAATTATGAGGTGATTCCATTAGGCCATTGTTGACAGCCCAAAAATAATTGGTAAAATGGCTTTTTAATTAATATTATATTGTTTTTTAGAGATGTCTTCGAATTACTGAACGATGTGAAAATTGTTCTGACCATTCATTGTGTAGTAATTGTTCGTCTATTGACATGAGCAAACGAATGGAAGATATCGAGAAATCAGTTCAAAAGGTAGTTGCAGATTAGAGATTAGACTTGCTATTAATTAAAACTCGAAGCTTTTTTTTAAAAGCTTTTCTCTATGTACATTGTACAACTGCGAATTAATTTCTTCTTTAACAACTATTGGCTTTTGTGGAATTGCAGCCTTTTAAAACTTTTGATTCAAATACTAAACCGACTTATGAAGGGGCAATTGCAGCAAAATGGAAAACTGGATCTAATAGCACTGATAAATATCGTATTTTCGGGGCATTCTTTCAATCGAAGATATCTTACTTTACTCTCTCGAATATATTTTTAGAATTCGTCATCTATATCAGAGATTCAATTAAATCTCATAAGAAGAGAATTTTGGGAAAGATGCCTTCAAGTAAGAACCGTGGCATGTGCATATTGCTAATTGAAACAATTCTTTAGGCAAAAAAACGCTTAAAACCGGAGCAAGAGCCGCATGCGGCTCGCGGGCCGCGGGTTGGCCACCCCCGCTGTAGATGATAGAAAATAGTGTTTCTGAAAATACTTCTACTCTGATAAATGAACAAATGCAGCCATCACGCTAAATAAATTAACTTTTTTTGTTATTTCATTATGTTGTTCTTCTTGTGACTAATGGTGAAAAAATGATTCCATGCGTATGCATCCTATCAACCTTGACTGATGCTGCTTAGTTTAATAGAATTTGGTATTACACCTCGTATAGATAAAATGCGTGATTGTGACTTCATATAATGTCACTAAGGTTGGGAAATTTTGACTGTCTCCGACGCGCTTAACTTTTGTAGGTGGTACGCGAGCACTGCATGAAAAGGTTGGGAAACACTGATTTACGTGGAAGATACATAAGCGCCTTTATTCACTTTTCCATGCAATCGTCCATTATTTCGTCACAATCCATTCTTTGTTGTGAGAAGCGTTTATTGCACTACAACGACTGCTGTAATCACATTGAAAACGAAGTTCGGCGGCAAATGCACAGTTAACCATTTGAGTGAAGTAATTGGAGATGAAACGACAGAGATTACGTCGTCGACAACTTTTTTATTTTGAGACAGATTGTTTGAAATTCCCTCTAGTCTCAGTAGAGGCTGCAACTGCGTTTAGGATCATCGATCTTTATGAAGAAGACCAACTGAAATGCGCTTCAAGGAAAGGGGTCATTTAGTTATGAATAATAATGCCAATGGAAAAATACCCCAATGTCAAACTATCTTTGCTTATGATATTGTGAATTCTGGGGTCAACATACGTCAGCGAATCCTTGTTTTCTACCTTAAAACACGTGAAATCAAGGCATTGATCTGTTCTGACGCCCACGTGAAAGAACTGTTTCAATTGGCTACAACTACATACAAGCCAGATTCAAATAGGATTGTTCAATTAAAGGAATGCCAAAAGTTCCATTAAATAGCAGGCTTAACAATAAACGGCTTGCAAATTTCTGTAATAATCATGTTGGATGATCAATCTCTGATGCTCAATTTCTTTATTTCAGGATTATTCCGTTGGCGTAAATAAATTGTTGCAGGTTGTGGCGGTTATTTTGAATTTCATGATATTGATATATTTAATTCATTGGCTAAAAGAAAATGCAACATACCATTGGATGATCACCTTATTTTTCTTACTTATTTGCTGTGCTCCAACCAAAACCCATATCGAAGATCGCCAAACACCACTGGAGGTAAGAAGGGCAAACATCGTGCGCCGGAGAAGACGTTATTGAAATGAGCCTAACATTTATTGGAATTTAGAACCCAATGGAACGTTCGCCACCAAATGCCGAAGTCTTTTTGTCAATACTGCACTTTCCATCAAACTCTGCACAAACCATTTAAAATTTTCAATACTCAAAGATGGATGAAGTGGCTAGAAAGCTATTTATATATCGTCACGCTAATTACCGAATTGCGTAAGTCATTTTTAGCAGTTTTGAAAAAAACGTAAAAAACTTTTTAATGATATTGTTATGCCATTGAGAGTCAATAATTTGCCATGGTTCAATTTTTTGATTGTAGCCGGATTTAAGTTAATTTGTATGACGCAGTTAAGTGACGTCATAATGGCGCACTGTCACTTAGGCAGAAATGTGTCTATGATTTGGGGACATACGCAATTTTTCAACTTTACTATATAGCCTATATGCACCAGTCCTGAAAACTGAACATTCCAAAAACGAATGTAATTCTCAGTATCTACAATGTCGTATCCCCAAAATAGCTAATCAGTTTCAATTACATTATTTTTTATGTTTAAAAATATATATTTCATCAATATAACGCGTTCTGCACACTCACCGAAATAAGACTAAGATTAAATATAAAGAATAAAACAGCAATGCACCCAATATAAAAGCCAACTAAGGTGAATTGGACTCGGACAGTGAATATCACAAGTGCACATCTTCCTATACTCTAGTATAAATTCAAATTAATACGCGCTAAGCTAGGATCCGAGATGCAAAAACTTGAAAATACTTCGCCGAGGTTATTTTGCCTTTGTGACGTCAGAATAGTCCTGAGGTAACAAAGATAATTCTTTATGACGAAACAATCGCACAAATGTGCATGTCATACTAAATCTCCATTTTTATGGGTTTCGGAATTCTTAAAATAAAATCTGAGTTAACAGACAGGTGCGCAGCATTACATAAATACCTATTTTATAAAAAACTCAAAATCGCCAAAAATGACTTACGCAATTCGGTTATTAGCGTGACGATATATTTTTTAACGTGCGCAATATTTTACCAAAAACTTTGCTGATTTTTTTGTAACATGAAAAGACTTTTATATGACTTGCATTGTCGATTAATGATAAAAATTTGACATAATGACCAAATTCCACTTTTAATTTCTTTTCAATCTGAATTTCCTAATATTATTAATATTCTAATATGAATTTTGAAAGATAGCTGACTCTGAAAGTTCATTCAGTTACAAATAAATCACTTGAAACAGATGGTTTTTGCAATATTTAACAAATGTATCATTATTTCGGTATTTTGACTATTTTTGAAATTTTCAAAATTGAATATATATCAAATTTGAATGGTGTTAGCTTAAAATCAATAGCTAAATTACACTTAGCTTGCTATAGTTTTCACTGCCATGGTCATTTCTACGAAGTAAGGTTCTGTGTTTATTGGACACGTTTAGTGGACATAACGATCATATTGTTGTTCTTGTTGTTGTTTGACACTTTTTGGACACCTAGTGGAAATTATTAAAAAAACGCTTTTCTCTTTGATTACTGGACCAATTGCTTTGAAATTTTTAGTGGTTAAAGATGAAATTTTTCTCCAGAAGGCTATTACTTTTATTCATTTAAAATATATCTGATAGCTCTGTGAGATTTGTTTTCGTTTGCTTAGACGTCATTAAACGTTCTGCGGACATCAGACGCCATTTTGTGTCCTACTGTACTGCTTCGCTTGGTGTGAATATATTTGTAAACTGTGATCTGACGGTACGGTAAACCGTACTGTACTGCGAACAGACGTGTCCATATATTTGGGCGTAGCTCTCTTGTATTGATATAATGATCGAAACCAATGAAACAAATTCACACTTTAATCTGTTATTTTCATATCCCATGGCAACTTCTATTTTTTTTTTCAACTTATGATATGAAAAAAAACAAAATAGTGTAAATTTTGTCACAAAGAGGTCGTTTGCGGAGAAAATGGAATACCGCGTTATTTTTTTATTATTTTCATTTTTTATATATGTATGTATTACGTCAATTTTTGCTTCTTTTTCAAAAAAAACTCCCATCACTTTGTTATAGGAAATTTGGCAGGTTTAGGGAAATAGAAACCGAATTTTGATGCTTCAATGATGTGACTGTTGATCCATCAAAAATGCAAATGAGATATTGAGTTTGTTTTCCATTTTAACTTTTAATTAATGATAAATTACAATTAGAAGTTGGGATTTTTATTTACTAATGATTGAATTTACTAATTAATTTTGATCATGAAGAAATTGTGACCGCCCAAATGTTTTTTTTAAGTAATATATGAGTTCATTGTCGGCGGGAACCGATATAACAAATTTTATTCAGGGATATACTAAAGTCGTCTCTCTCACAGATTTAACATTGTTTCTGACATACTCAAACGGTCAAAAATCACGAAAAAAAAACTAAAATTGCAGAAAACGTTTTGTTAATTAAGGGGTAAATGTGCTCAAGGGTAATATAAGAATTTTAAAAAGCCGTAAACATCTGCAATTCAGCATTTGCATGCCTCTCATTGCACAAACGCAAACAAAAATTGGTCGTTCGGACGGCACCGTATAAATTGCCCAATTTTGAACAGAGAAACCCAAATGCCGTGCATGTTTATATGAAATGAAAAGTTTAACATTGGGTGATATATTTGTTTGTTCATCAATGTAATCATTTTTTCATAAAAGTGAAATATTTAACACGGAGTGGAATTTGGAACTCGTCTACCTTCTCGCGTTGTTCTATATTCTCGTGTACTGTACAGCACGGATTTGATCGTTTCATAATTCAACTTATCTTCATCGTCAGTTTCGTGGTCCGGAGTTTGTTGCAAATATGTATTTGGCTTCTCTATTAGACTACGTTGTTGAGCATTTTTTTCGGTGGCATGTGGACTAGTACTGCTGAGATAATTTGTAACTGAAAACGACACATTTTCTTTGTTCTCAGGGGATGAAAATTTCGTCTGATATTTCGTCTGTGCTGAAATGATATCTTTAACCCGATGTTTTGATTTATTTGGACTGCCACCTCTGCTCGTACTGTTTGAGTACATTGGTTTGCTCGAACCTATTTTAAACATTTCCCATGGATTGTAGCAGCTTGTTTCATTGACTTTATGACCTTTGACCCGAATGGGTATACTTGGTAATTGCATTCGTCGGTTGATTTCCTTGTATTTCGTGACACCACGTGATTTTAACGGTGACTTCTGAAATATAAGTAAGACCCTGAATTCGTAATAAAAAAAATGTAACAGTTTTTTGACAAAATCTGGCCAGGATTTAGTGAAATGATTGCTAAATTTGGCAATAATTGTCGGGGGTAATTTTTGTTGAAGCATTACAAAGAGAGACACTTAAAAACAACACAGGAATATAGAGATATCCAGCATTCCATTCCTCTGTATTAACTATTTTCGTTGCAAAAATATTCACCGTACCTTTTTCTTTTCACTCCAATTTGCTATGCTTTGATCTCTCCAATATGCATAATCATTAGGGGGGTATTTATTTCGTTTCTTGGTATCAATTTTTACTTGAACAAGTGGTACGGGACGAGCCGGCTTTCTAGCGCTGATTCCGACGGGAGTGTTGCCGGGATGAAAAACAAATTTCCTCGGTACTTTTTCTACGACTAATGTTCTCGAGTATGGCTTGGACGGATATTTTTTAGTTTGTGTTCCAGCAGTGTCTCCAATGCAAAGAGTCCCGATAGATTCCAGTCCTGGAACCAATAATTAATAGGCTTTTTGTATATTCAACATGCAAAAACAGAAAAGTTCCCACCATTTTGATTTGAGGGATAGAGTTGTGTTATATTCTGTATAATTTGTAAAACTTAGAGAACACATGGCGATAATAGTCAGTCAAACAAACGTATTTAAGGCTGGTAGGTTGGGTCATCATAGCATAATGAAGCAACATCATAACACGATTTTGTGCTCTGACGTCGCATGGGGAATATAAATTGTGTCATATATCTATTTTAGGCGTACAAAATAATTTTATAGGTGAAAAATTTGTAATATCCACGAAAGAGCCCTTCTTGATACAGTATATGGAAACAACATTCCAAATGGGTACTATACGCAACCGCGTACTCTTTTAGACCTTCGTTTGTCTTTTTTCAAAACGCCGGTCAGAGAAATCGAATGTGGATATTTTATATCCAGCAGAAAGTATAGTAAAACGCGAAATGAGAGAATTAATGAATAAAAATCTTTGCTACAGGACATAAAAAAAGAATTCGACCTGCGATCCAAGACCAATCTTCATGCAACTTGGGATTTCCTTTCATATTAAGAACATAATTTTTATCCAAATGTGCCATTTGTCGTTGAAATAAAAGATCTCCTGGATGAGAACTTCGAAGTTCTTGTAAAGCATCAGTATCTTCGTTATTTATAGAATATTATAACATTTTAGTTTTCGATAGATACCTGTTGTTTTCAACGTACTATTATGAATATGAACAAATTATTATTGGATAACTCGATATCTATCCGATTGCCGAATTCGTTATTTCATTTTGATGAAGCAGAATATTCTATTTTGACATACATAAAAACCGAAAAATTACAAAAATGACGTCAGCAGTAGGTATTATATCATACATCGTTTTGCAATTAGCATCGGCTAACAGGGGTGAGCTAGGGTTTTGGACCAGGGACCAAAAATTCTGCCCATCTGGATTGGCGGGCCATGTAAGTGTGACGTGAAAAGTTACATTTTATGAACAATATTTACAGTGTTACAAAAGTGGAAAACAATAAGCCTCGTGTCTAAACTAAATTTTATCGCAATTTCATTAAATTCGTTGAGCTATTTTTTTAGCTGGAACAATAAAAAAATTGGTTTTAGTATGATTGTGGAAGCATCAGGCGTACAAGGTTAAATTACCCAGCGGGTCGGATTTGGCCCGCGGGCCGTAGTTTGCCCATGTTCTGGCTGAAATGTATACATGCACGTCATTATTTAGGATGACATATCTATGCTCAACGATAATACGCAAAACATATTCTTACCAGGGGAATAATGAAAATGTCTGCGATTTTCCGAGTGATAAGGAGATGAAGGTGGTAAAGACATGTATTTTGAGTCCGACAGAGCATCTGGTGTTGTCGTCTGATCAGCGTAGGTGAACCGAGAGGTAGCTCTGCTGCGGTTCCGTGCTGTTGTCAAATAAAAAATACAATCAGTGAAAATTCTTGATAAGCACTGGCCAATTACGGTACCGGTGTTGAACTTGTCATATTGTGATAGTTTTATAACATTACTAATGTAATCCTTTTTTGCCTTCACACGAAATATACCAATTTTGCCATCACTATAATGTTAACACAAGTAAGATCATGTAATGCATTGATTCCATAATTACCAATTTGTCGCCCATTTTCTTCTCTAATATTCAACGGTTTCGTCTCTACTCGTACTGGCTCAAAATACAAGTTTCCTCCGTAGCCAGGCCACACCTAAATAGGGAGTAATTATTACGGCATTTGCGGAATTTATTCAATTAATTTTTGGTAATATTATATAATCATTTAAGTTGAGCTTTTAAATTATGAAGAAAAACTTCTATTCAAAGATAAAATTACAAATTCATTCGCGGATGCACGTAGGCAGATTTGCTAAATAGCTTACGTGCTTTAAAAGTTACCTATATATTACCTTCAGTGGATTCAATGGAATGGGTTGGTTTTGATGAATGACGTATGACTTATCAGGTCGGTGTTCAAATGGCGGATCGATAACGGGTTCTGGAAGATAATTCCAATCCTAGAAATAAATTTGTTGAATTAAATTCTAGTTGTCATATAGTTATGATAGACGGCAGAGCAATATTTTTCTGCTCAGAAGGACTCGCAAATTTACGTTGTAACCAGTAATGGGGTACAAAAGTTCATAACAGGTTATATTTTGTATCGCACAGGTCCCTCATTTCAGAAATGTATGTATGTCACTACGTACTAATATGACACACTTTACATAAATTTAATACATGGCTTCTGAATCGACAAATATAATGTAAACCTCAACAATAAAGTATCTGGCGACTATCGAAGAAGTTCAGCGTTGAGGTCGCGGTTTGTATACAAACATAATATATATATAAATATTATTTCGATTCGTTTTCATTTCAGAAATGTGAAATATTATTTACTTACACTTTAAAAAGCTAGCATAATAACCATAATATCAATATTAATTATTTGTATTACACATTTATAGTCAACTCACTACAGCTTGACTCGGAGCCATCCAACTTCCTTGATATTGATGAATAGACGCAGGAGGAAGTGAAGTCAAAAGAGGTGAATCCTCTCGAACGGGAAAATGAACCTGTAGAACGTTTGATTATTTGGATGTACAACTATATAATACGAGTATACGACTCTTCTTTTTTCGATGTGGCCCTTGTGCTGGTTAAGTTTACCTATCTTTAAGCATATATGAGATTGCCGATTATATTTATTGACACGGCGTTGAATCATGGATCGTTTCGCTCAATTATTATTGTTGCTCCATATTTTCAGAAGGATTTTAATTTTATTCGAATTTTCTCCGAGTCTAACGGAACCAATAAGTCACTCAAAAATTTGCTGTTTTATCTCAATTCATTTGAACGCTTTCAATCACTGATGGGAACAATATGTTTCATCACACTTGTCGGTTTCATATACAGATTTTATGACAACATGTTTTGGATTTAGTATGTTTTCAAATTTGAAAGTTTGAAATATGTTTACCTTGGGTGTCATTTTCCATGCTAAAGCTTTGTGTTGCGCGTTTTTCACTGTCGCAATGTGAATTTCATCAGTCGTGTCATCTATCTGTTCCACGAGATCATCGTCCATACCCGACGTCACAGGAGTCCCCTGTCCTTCTTCCTTCGTAACCTCGGTCTGGTATTCATCATCGTTTGTCATCGTTGACTTTGTCGTTGTCATGGTTTTGCTCAGCGGACGTTTTCGATAAAATGGTTGTTCCATATCAACAACTCCTTGAAACATAACTTCATCGCTTTGCCTGGATGCATCTATTGGGAGTGAACAAATTATTAGATTACAAAAAATAGGTTACATATCGTCACGCTAATAACCGAATTGCGTAAGTCATTTTTTTCGACGTTTTCGATAAAATGGTTGTTCCATATCAACAACTCCTTGAAACATAACTTCATCGCTTTGCCTGGATGCATCTATTGGGAGTGAACAAATTATTAGATTACAAAAAATAGGTTACATATCGTCACGCTAATAACCGAATTGCGTAAGTCATTTTTAGCAGTTTTGAGAAAAACGTAAAAAACTTCCTAATGATATTATCATAATGGCGCACTGTGACTTAGCCAGAAATTTGTCTAAGAATTGGGGACAAACCCAATTTTTCAACTTTACTATATGCAACAGTCCTGAAAACTAAACATTCCAAAAACGAATGTAATTCTCAGTATCTACAATGTCTAATCCCCAAAATAGCTGATCAGTTTCAATTACATTATTTTTTATGTTTATATATTTCAATAATATAACACGTTCTGCACACCCACTGAAATAAGATTAAGTTTAAATATGAAGAATGAAACAGCAATGCACCCAATATAAAGCCAACCAAAGTGAATGAATTGGACTCGGACAGTGAATACCACAATGGCACGCCGAATCCGAGATGCAAAAACTCGAAAATACTTCGCCGAGGTCATTTTCATTTGTGACGTCACAATAGTCCTGCGGTAACGATGATAATTCATTATGACGAAACAATTGAACAAATGTTGATGTCATATTCAATCTCCATTTTTATGAGTTTTGGAATTCTTAAAATAAAATCTGAGTCAACAGACAGGTGCGCAGCATTACATAAATACCTATTTTATAAAAAACTCAAAATCGCCAAAAATGACTTACGCAATTCGGTTATTAGCGTGACGATATATAAATATAACATAAATTGTTGACTTATGAAGTTGATTGCAAGGTTTTTGTTAAAACTAGATACTATACAAACCCGAACATAGAAAAATCAATTACTTGTCGGCCTCATCTGAACCAATGCGACAATTTATCGTCAGAAATATATTTCCGATTTTTGTGAATTCGGTCAATTAAAAAAAATCAGAGATTGGTTCCTATACTATACCGATAGTTTCACCCCATACTTACCAGATCTTCTTTTCTTCACAGATATGTTTACAGCCTGGATTTCAGGTGCACTACCATGCTTTATAGTTATTACTTTTTGGGTAGGAATACCCTGCTTTGATTTGACTGCCATATTTTCTACCGACTGTGCCTGTCCTGTTACAGTAAATGCTACAAAACTGCCAGATGTTTAAATCGTTGACTCGCACTTGAGAACTCAAAAGATTAAATGTTTCATGAACTCAAGTGGTCTCAACGTCTTGTGTCTTCAATCCACTTATGCTCTGTTTAATTTGTAATCAAAAGATATCTCAGGTACGAACGCGGGACATTTGCAATCTGTTTTATGCGTACAAAATGTTCACATCGGCCGCTAAATGGTTCTAAATTAGCTTTCAAAGAGCGTATCTTGACTAAATCAATTTTTACTGTAATTCGGACTAAATAATATGACACAGGAGCGGTATTACCTGCGAAGGCAACTAAAATTTAAAACCGATTAAATAAAACAAATTGAAAAGCTATTCCATTCATTGAAAATTTTGTCGAACCAACTAAACATAAAAATTTGTTGAATAGCTCGTCAAATGAAAACGCGTAATTGTAAGGTGACAGCAATAATAACTACCGTCCATTTCGCGGACGACACATTTTTCTGACTCTTCGAAATTTTTCAAACCTTGCCCTTTCAAGGCTGTCTGTCATGCCCTACTTTCTCATCGTGATCGAATCCGACAGCCGTACACAAGACTGACGTATCGCAAATACAATATTGTTTTTACTCTAAATATTGATACAATGGCGATCGGAATACCCTGAGAAGTATTGTAATGCAACGTGAGATCCGACAAGGTTTGTTAAACGGTGTCGTATATCGACACAACAATGTGTAAACCACAACAAATAGGAAAATGGCATAGATCAGTGATTTTGTATTATCAGCTTCTAGTAATCAAACATAATCACATGGGCCATTCATCACCGTGCCAATACACTTCATTAAATACGATTGACTGAATGTACCACGCAAGTTGGTTTTTCATCATGTTACGAAAACAAAAAATATTTGTTTATATTAAATTATATATCTTTGAGTGCGGAGTTTTATTATTCAGCTTAGAAGCTCATCGATTTCCAAAGGTAAAAATGTTAAAAAAAAACTCGAAGCTACAATCCTTCTGTCTCAATATTGTATTTTGAATCATAGCCAGTAGCTATACAACATCACGATTGACGTCAAATACCCATGCACAGATATTACATCCAGATAACTGTGCTATGCTATAGCGGTTCCCAAACGTTTGATTCTTGTGTCGCCCTATTATAAGGAAAAAACTCGCCACCGTAGTTTAACACAAATCTGTTAATTTTCGGGGCGCACTCAGTAAATTTGGATTTCGCACTATTTGGATTTGAAAAGCAATGATAATACCAGTTAACGATACATAACATTGCCTAGGACAGATAATAGTAAACCGGTGTCTCGACAGTTTTTTTTTCTCTGTAGTAGCACCAAACCCCGTAGAAGTCATGATAGATCATGGAATGCTACATTGAATGAACGGTAATTTCGTATGATAAATTCGATGGATGCGCGAAAATCAGTTAAATTTGTCGGAAATATTTTAATATACAGCTACGTTCTTCTTCAAAGCAGGAAATATTTACTTATGTAATTTATACAATTTACTTATGGAAAGTGATGCATGCAAGGACGCAGCCAGGGAGATTAAAATCGAAAATTTCCAAAAAGGGCTTCTGAAACGATTTATGCAATTGCGCGTTCGTTTATAATATTCGCATTCGTGATATTCTATCCTTGGAGCTACGAGAGTATACAATGTCTTTCTATATTAATTTGATTCTGTTGAACGCAACTCGTGGTTGCGTCGACTCACAATAGAATAAAAGCATTACTGCTCCAAAATATCACGGCAATCTGCGAACATAATAATATGAGATAAATTGCTAAAATTCTAAAGTCCCCAATTTATGCAATCATAAATGATCTTGACTATGAATAAAACGCTCGGGAACAAATTACCCTTTTTTGTCCGAGTTTCCTTCTGCGCATATTAGTCTTTTAACGTAAACCAATAATTGTGGTGTCTGCTAATAAATTACCAAACTTAATGAGCAGGCGGCGAACACCTAATCAATTCCAGTGACTCGGTTACTTTTGATAGTATTCAAACAAGACAACGGACACAGCCCGGGGATCAATCATGGAGATTCTCATTTAAACATTGGACCTGGCACAATTCTATGCCCTTTAGGTTCTAAAGTTTAGAATATATTGTGTTTTGTTTCGGTTTACCTCACTAACTTCGTTAGCATATTTACTGTAATTAAACCTCACAAGTTGGGTCGCGCTGTACAGAAGATTAGATTGTAAGGTTATTTTCGTACGGTTTAGATAAGTAGTAGGCAAGCGAAGGGTGAGTCATTGAGGAAGTGTCGCGGGTGTAATCCGGTAGGGAGGGAGTGGGGATGTTAGGCAGGAAAGGGTATGCAGGCGGTTTGGGCGAGGGGACATGAGGCGGGATAAAGGAGCTGGAATATTAGACAGGAAAGTTGATAAAAGAAGTCTGGGCGTGGTTAGATAGAGACGGTGGATAGGGAACTGTAGGACATACAAAAGGAAATGACAGAAAAAAGCGTCGAAGAGGATTGCGCATTTATTCAACATACGACGCCGGGAAGGGTTGAGATCTCTAATCCACTAGGACAGGGGTTCTCAAACTTTAAGTGTTAGGGAGCACGCAAAGAGGTTGACTATTATTCACCCACAACTGTGGAGCCCCACAACTAAATATAAAAAATACAAGCAAAAACACATTGTTAACTACCGATTAATGTTCCTGACGTGTCCAAAACGTGTCAAATAACAACAAAACGATCGTTATGTCCACTAAACGTGTCCAATTATAGATACTAAGACTGTAAATTTGACACTTGACAAACATACTAATAAATTGATGTTTTTGGAAGACTGAAAAAAGTCGCTAATAACGTGCGCGATTGAATTTTGTTATGCATGTATCGTTCCACGAGGACGACGATAATTACTTTTTTGTTGTAAAGAATTGTGAGTTCAGTGTGGAAAACGAAAAATAATTAATAAAGAGGTGAATCCGCAACCTAAATTTAAGTATATCAATCAACTTTTATCGCAAAAAAATTACATTGAACACAATTGAGTCAATAAACAAGGCATTTTAAATACGCCCGCATCGGTTATTGATTGCGCGATTGTAAATTGTACTTACTGAGAACCTATGCACTAGGACAGGGATGGCGAACCACTGACCCGCGGGTCACAAAGTGACCCACCGCGTTTTATTCGTGACCCGCCAAGGCACGAATAAAATAAGAAAAATGCTAACATATCAGTGATAAAAAATATTAAAATCGGCCTTAAATTAATCTAACAATACCTAAACTATTATAATGTACCGTCAGTTGGGCAGTCAGGGCTGCGATCGCTTATATTCAAATTTCCGATATGATAATATTCAAAACCCCTAATCTTGGACGCATGTCTGCACCGTTGTGTGCCGTTATTCAACTATTGGCTCTGACATCGTTTATGACATAACAATCCAATTGATGTTCATTTCTCGCAACGTCTTGTCTCTTCAGAAGTGCATCTGCAGACTGTTTTAGGGGTTGTACGAGAACTAGATGCCACTTTGCATTTTATTAGTTTCTCGCCTACAATGCCGTTGAGAATACAAAATCTTTCAGACTTGAAATAAAAACCTAGAAATCTGGAATAACAATGGGGCAGTGTAAAAGTGCTTTCTAATATGGTTAAAGCTGATATAAAAATATAGCACTATCAGAGTGGAATTCCCTCCAAACTCTTTGGAACCGTGAAATAATTTGCCGCATCATCCTAAACGTAATTCATATGTGTGTTTTCGTACCCTTAATCGAGTGCCATAAAAAGTTCCTGATAAAGTGCTGTAAAGTGAAGCACTAAACTACACCAACATTAACAGCACCGTTGTATTATGATTTGTTTCAGATGTTTCTTATAGATACAAACATTGATTAAATATCTGTGACTTCTTCTGTTCCGCGATTAAAATATGACTTTTGACCCATTCATTAAAAAAGGTTCGCCATCCCTGCACTAGGACATCGGTTTTTAGTGTTTTTTAGGCCTACATGTCTGCGAAGTTTAAAAAGGCGTAAAGTTGTCGATAACAAAATTGAGTGTAATTTATCTCTATAGCTACATAACAATAGACGCAGACACTACGTAAAACTATAAAGGTAAAATGAATTTAGTGCTTCATATACACAGCATTTAAAATAACAAAACATTAATAATAAATACAATTTGTAAAATATTCAATTATATTTGAGTCATGTTTTACATTCTGTTAATTTGCGCGGCGCACTTAGCGGCAAGAAGCGGCGCATCTTTTTGGACCATGATTTAAGTGATAATCCTTCTCTATAGTCTCTGCTGATTGAACCCAACAATCATCGTCATGCGATTTGCATATTCAAAATAGCTACAGATTATTTATAGCCCTGGGCGTTACGATAAACAATCGTTTAATTGTCTGTTGTGTTTCAAAAAAGCAAAACGGTATATTTTTAGTCTACCTCCAGAAAAGTGAAATATACATCTGGGGGTACATGTACCCTAATTTGGGAACCTCTGCGCTAAAAAGAATTTCTCTCCACTATAAATTATATCGCCTGGTTTGTTCGTAGGTTTTGCAGGCATGAACGTGTGCTCTACTGGAATCCTTAAATATGCTTTCGGTTTCTGTCATATGCGGAACAACGATTGATAAAGAGTCGTTTCGCGAAGAAAACTCTTCTCTGTTTACTGAAATAAATGTCACTCAGAATATCACGCAGTGGAATAACATAAGTCTTTTTCGTTTTCAAAGGCAGGATAAGGTATGAGGATGTTTTATTTTCTATTATCGTTAGGAACAAATTTATCAACTTGGATACATTCAGGAGGAAGCGGTAGCCGACCAGTCGTTAATTTGTCGCACTGCAATGATGCAGGTCCAGCAGCGTTCTCGCACAACATTATATCCTACGGGATTTGGCAGGGATGATCAAACTACCTTCATTGACCGCATGTTGCCCGCTAGTGCATTTGTGTAGCCTCCTGCTTTTGGAGAAAGTTGTGAATTTTTTTTCAATATTCATTCACGAAAATCTACTGCAAATGAGTTACTTTGCTTTGTCAAATAAATTTGTTTCAGTTGATGTGTTTACTGTCGTCTAACATATTTTTTTTAAATCTTTAATTTGGAATATTGCGTGTATTAAATTTTAACTAATGGTATAAACTGATCTAAAAAATTAGGTACTTTTCTTAGTGCGGGTCTTCGCAAAAATGATTTTCTGAAGCGCCATTGCAAAAAATATGTGACCCGCCCGTAAAAATTGAACAAAATTATAAAAATGCAAACCAGTAACGAAATGATAACTTAATGTTACACACGGCTCCTATATTACATTTTTAGAAATAAACATTTTCAAGACGACTTCTAAAACACACACTCAAGCCGTAGACATGCTTCGGTGAACAAGCAGCGCCGATTGTCGACGTGTTGGAAGAGTCGTGCAACGTCATAATGAACAATCTAAAACATATGCTCAACAATTTCAATATGACGTCATACACAGCGTGTAGCGCGTGCTCCCGCACTATATAGTCTTGTTTTATATTTGCGATTCGTTTTATGTTACCGTGCCGAATTACAGTATTAAGGGAAGAATTAATTACGTAATTTATAGACTTACCGTACGTTTTCTTCCTTTAAAACAGACGGTATTCGGAACCGTATGGTACCTACTTGTATCTTTTTGCGATGTAAATTTCTCAGATTCCTTGGTTATGTAGTTGTTTGCAGTTTGGTGCACAGGCAAGCAAACAGAACAGCGGAAGGTGTCGGGTTAGTCAAGTATTCAGTTATTGTTTTTACAGTATTCTGGTATAAGGCTACACTGACAGATTGTTGCTTGTTTAGCTGAATTTGTTTATATTAACCAAATACAGAAATAATATTTCAAGCTAACAATATTCAAAAATTCTCAATTTTATAGGCATAGAAAGAAAAAGTATCAACACAATTCATGTCTTTGGTATTTTTGGATGTTTATCCTGATTATGTGTACATGAACTTGAATTAACGAACCCAAGAATTCGCAGGATGATCTCAAATTGAAATTCTACAGTTCTATGCTCCAGGCTTAGAACTTCCCACCTTGATTAGGAACCATTGAAATCCTATCCTATCCATTGTGACTGTTTTTAGTCACTATTTCTGATCAGTCTCTGTATTTTGAATTTGCAGGATTCAGGGATTTGCTGTTAAACTTTGTAAGTTAATCTTAAATAGCTTAAGCAAGTATTAGATAACATAGCACCATGGGAATGCCAAGAAAGAAGAGCAAAAGTCCGCCAATAATGAGCCATGAGTTTGTTATACAAAATCATGCAGATATTGTATCATGTACTGCAATCGTCATCATTTTAGGACTTCTATTTGAGGTACATTCTTTATTTTCTACTACATTGAAATCGTTGTAATGTGTAGTTCACAAATCTCTCACATTACACTCTCACAACTTATTTTGTTAGGTTGGGCAGCCAAAACAAACAAAATTTGTAACATTGAGAAACTTTTTAACTAAAAAATTGGTATATTTTTGTCTTTTTCAATTGTTTGCTGTTTGACCTATTTTTAATTACAATGCCCTTTCCTGGCTATACTTGATATATCAACTTGGTGCTTGATTGGAGTAATTTATTTTTTCAATTGATTGATGTTTTATATATAAGACATAGTGTTATACTTTTAACATGTATTCTGTTTTATTTTCAGGCCACTGCAAAAATCAGTAGATTGTTTGTTTTCCTGCAATATGGTCTTAAACAAGATGAAGAAGTAAATGAAGAAGATGATGAAGTTATTGGTAATTTTATTATTACATGCGTAACTTTTGTATTTTCTCAAAATCAATCTGAATTCATCAGTGCTCAAATATATTTATAAGAAGTCCAGTATCAGAAGCCTATGCGATGCCGTCTACAGAGAAATAGGATGCAACTCTAATGACCGAAAAGCAAATTTTGGATGACAAATTGAGTTCTTTGTACTCCAATAACAGTAATTTCACTAGGATCCATATGAACACACTGTGTATTTTGTACATTTTTGTGTTTTTTTTAGTGTTATTTGTATGAAGCTGTTGTCATTTATGTGAAATTTATATAATTTAGTGGTTATCAAATATACTCATCATCTGTGAAGTTGAATAATTATATTCTCAAGCGCCCTGATATAAATTTTAAACATTTAACCCTTTTTATTGCGCAGAGAAATTTCCAGTTGATTTCAACAGAGGTTGGTTGGATGCTTTCACAGTGATTTTTCAAATGTTGATTGTCATTGTTGTTCATGCAGTTATTCAAGAGTATATAATTGATGTGAGTACCAGACTACCAGTATTGTATAAAATCATTACAACTTTTTAGACGGATATTGTTCTAACCCTCATTGCAATAAATATCGATTTCCTCATACTGCGATATCATTATATTAAAATAAAACTATATTACCGAATCATGAAGTTTGCAAAATTCAGGGCATCCGAAACGATTTGGATACAATTGAATTCCATTATACTCGATATGAAAAAATTTTTGAACTTTTTAAATAATGTAGGATACTTACCGTATATTTGAAAATTAGAGATTTTGAGCTGCTAGACGAAAACCCACCATATCTCAACTGATAAAAAACAACACAGAGAAAACAATAAACCTTTAGATTTATGTCGTTTTAGATGTGATCGACATGAAGGTTCAGTGATTTAAGCTATTTTTTGCATGATCTTTCCCTCGATTTAGAATGCATTCTATAATCCATATTTGAAAATACATTTTCATGATTGTATTCAGAATAGTGAAATATTTGGTTTTGGCCACCCTGGTATGAATATATGTTGTTATTTTTGATAGATTTTGAGTGTATTATACTGTAAATGGCAAATTGAAATGTTAAAATCTGTTATAATGGTTCGTATAAATTATAGTCGTATGAATGTCAATAGACCTAAATGATGTTGAATAAGTTCCTGTTCTTCGAAATGACATTTAAATGTGGGATTTCTTTATACCTCCAACTATACACTGTAGGCCTATTTGAAATATTTTCGTATTATTATTTTTTTTTTTTTTTTCAGAAAATGTCAAGGAAGCTTCATCTTTCCAAAACTAAAACCAGCAAATTTAATGAATCTGGGCAACTGTCCATGTGGTCTGCTGTTTCTGCTATTTGGGCGGGATATTGTGTGCATCAGGTAATTGAACAAAGTATCAAGTTTTATCACAAGTTGTATTATAGGGTTATTGAAATAAATGTTAAAAAGCATTATTCAAGCAACTATTAAAAGCATAAATAATGTTGTAGAAACAATAGAATGAAATGTCATGATGAAGCATATAGAGCATACCGTAATACAGCCATCAACCATTACTAAACTTTCAAAAACCCATCTTATCAGAATTATTTATTTTATATTTCCAAATTAGTATCTATCCAACATATCATTACTGATATATAATGAAATAAGCATGGTATTATTAGTAGACATTTCAGTCCAAAATTCCGTACTAAACTTTTTTATATTATCTTTCCTGCAGTCTAAATTGCTTCCAAATGTCTCCGCTCTATGGGAAGAATATCCCCATACTGTTTTGCGCTGGGAGAACAAGTTGTTTATGCTCATCCAGGTATGTTTATTCTTACATTTTATTCAAGCCTTATCGCATTGTTCAATGTTGAGGAATTCTATCTTGCGATTTATTTTCATTTTAGTTTGATCCCTAGAAATCTGTTGCCATGTATAATTAGTTTATTTAAATATTCTCGATTCTAGCTATTTTTAAACTCAATTTTTTTAATCGTATATTCAACGCTAACCAAAAAAATTTGCAACACTGAGCTCTCAAATGGTTTTAATTGAATACATGTGGCAGAATGCTATATATAACATACAAATGGTTGTCATGAAAATAAATCTGTCATACTCATGAGAATATTTTTTTACTGATTGTTAGTTTTTCAAAGTGAAACTGAGTTCATAAAACGTTCATCACATTGAATTAGGCCAGTGTAATCTAAGATCAGATATGGATGATTTTTAACGTCAAGTCGATATCTGCTTTATGTCTAGTTATAATCTATATACCCTATCATACAGTAATAATAAATTTAGAAGTTGAAATTCTTTGTAAAACATGCGTGATTGAGTGATTTACGTTATGAACAATGTTTTGAATTTTATATGGGCTTGTTTTATTAGTTCACTACATAATCCACTATATGAATTATCCTGGTTGCTGTCGATCATTATTTGTAATCTAATGCCAATAAAATTGTCGTTTTTAATTTCAGTAACAGATTGCATAATGTATTTATAGAATATTGAAGCATCTTTAACTTCCTGTTAAGGATGTGTTGCTACTGTTTATTTAACATCAAACCATAGTTCATCCGACTAAATTATATTTATTTTAAATCTGTTTAAACTGATTCTTCGTGTAATTCTTCAGTGGTTTTCAACCTTTTTGGGAAAGTGGAACCCGAGTGAAACATTCTAGATCTAGAGGGTTGAATAACACTGTAAAATAGTTTTATTTTCTTAATTGTATTAGCTATGAATATATATAAAAGCAAACCTTATGCTGGCAAAATAAAATGATATTTGAAGTGTAGCAAGTTCAATATTGTGGCAAACTTAACTAGCTATGAATATATATAAAAGCAAACATTATGCTGGCAAAATAAAATGATATTTGAAATGTAGCAAGTTCAATAATGTGGCAAACTTAACTAGCTATGAATATATATAAAAGCAAACCTTATGCTGTCAAAACAATATGATATTTGAAGTGTAGCAAGTTCAATATTGTGGCAAACTTAACTAGCTATGAATATATATAAAAGCAAACATTATGCTGGCAAAATAAAATGATATTTGAAATGTAGCAAGTTCAATAATGTGGCAAACTTAACTTATACTTGATTATATCTAAAACTAATCATATTATTATAGACCTTCGGATTTGAAAGTAAACTTGGGAAACTCTACTGTACTGGCGAAACCTTAGGGTGCCGCGGAACTACGGTTAATATTTTAATCACTTTTCTTTCTGATAATAAAAATCTACGTATTTTTAGCTTGCTTACTGGCTGCATATGTTTCCTGAACTATATCTGCAAAAAGTTCGAAAAGAAGAAATTTCTACTCGTATCCAATACTATTGTCTTTATTTCTTCTTCATTTTTGCGGCATATTTCACCAAGTAAAAAATATTTTCTATTCGTTAGTAGTATTATTGAAATGTGGAACTTCGTCAGTTATTTTTCCACTTGTAAAAAGCAAAACCTGCATTTCTTATGCTAACTAGAATATAATCTCAGAATTAATACCTTTACATTATTCAGAATTTGAATTAATGGGGTAGACAGGATTTTAGTATACAAAGTAGATATCCAGTTTTTGAATTGAATGAGTCCCTGAATAACTTTTAAGAAAGTTGGAATGTTGATTAAAACCAAATAGTTCACTAATATGAATATTATGCTCTGCATTAATATATTCGAATATTTTTCTTAATAGTGCAGTGCCCTTCTCCACACCAAAAGTTTGTTCCATTGATCCTTTTTTTGTAAGATAACTCATTGTTAAAATTTATCATTATTTTTTACATCATTCATTTAGTTTTTGGAAATTGTGCATCGTCACACTGGCTCTACACTATCCAATGGAATGTCTTTTCCATGTTTCAAGGATGCTTTACTTTGCGGAGAAGGATGAAAATGCTCAAATCGGGTAAAATTTCATAATTTTTAATCTGATACCTTTAATTCAATCTAATACCTAAATCAAATTAATTTCTGAACCTTTTTCGTGTTTAAGGCTGTAAAATTGTTTATTATGATGATATTTGACACTTTTATAGTAAAATTCACCAGTTTCAACTCGCTGCATTTTTTATTCTGTTATCTGTCATACTAATTTTCATAAAAACCAGGATAATGTTGTGTTAGTTTGTTAACAATTTGTAATATCAGGGAGGATTTATTTGACATTTTGATTATTGATCATTTTAAATGACCGAAATTTAACTCGATTTTGGAAACGTGCTATAAACTAATAAATAACGCTCCACAAACTGCTAAATTTAGTCTATATTTAAAAGTGTTGACTCAAAATCTGTATGAGTGGAAAGGAGTCTATTCTTTTAAGTTTAAATTGTTACATTACTGTTCACTTCTTGTTGTTATGGAAATAAAAAGGATGTCAATGTATGGGTTAATTCCTGGAATCCTAGAATTTTTCTATAGTGCATCATACTCACTCCAACACGTAGACATGCTGTTGAATGCTTCATTTTCATTTAGATTTCGTGTATGGACTTTCCTGTATCCAGTTGTTCGTTTCCTAATCCTCTCACTCACTGTTCTTGTATTCTGGTTTGGGTTCGGCAACTTAGCGGAGAAAGGTTTTGATCCTGCATCTGGAAATTTCAACAGCGGTCTCATCAGGTACATTTAGTTTTCAATATATTATATTTTCAAATTGATTAATGATCTTTTAACCAAAACTGGAAATATGTCATACATAATTCATTGAAGATGGTTTTGTTTAATAAATAAATTGTTTTACTCTTCAATTTCATTTTTGTTTTACTTTTTCGTGATGTCTGTTTAATCTAGATTTCTTTTAAATGACTATAGTTATGGTATAAATATAGCATTATCAGACGGTTTCACTATTTGTACGAAAACAGGCATACAGTTGTGTTTTTGTTGAACTTTTTATTTTTCAATCGAAGAGTAATTGTCTTTCTGTAGGACTAATTTTCTTAGTATTTGCTGTAGTACAACTAATAGTTGCTGTAGTGAACTACTAATATTTGTTATTTTTAATACTATAATGCTTATCTATGCTCACATAAACTACTTAATCTGTACAAAAGCGGGAATGCAACTCATTCATAACACTGGCTAAGGATCTTTGAAAGATTGAACAAATAAATCAGCTTTATGCATATTGAGGAGAAATGAAGAGGTCCAAAATAGGAGAAATTTAATGAAAAAGGCTAGGAACAACTGCTAGTTAAACTTGTCCACAACATTTGTTTCAGAACTTCAGCCATGGCAGCAATGTGTCTTTTGCAACTGTGGTTGATGTGGAGATTTATTCAACTACGATTCCGTAGGCAAAGGGACCAGAAACAAGCAGCGCAAGCATTGAAAAAGAAGTCAACTCCTGCTAAAGCAAAGGGAGGAAAGAGTAAGCGTGAGTGAAAAGAATGATATTTATGGTGTTTTTTTTTTTGCTTTTGAAGTTTTGCATCGAGGCCGACAATATATTATTTTTCTGTCATTGATTAAGTAAGGATGCGAAATTTTTTCAGTGGGATATCTTTTTTCAATAGATCATTAAATTACCAAACAAAATTGGTAAACTTGTGCAATTATTATTTGCTATTTCGTATAAGTCATTTACGGTCCTTGCTAAAAAAAAATTTGGGCAAATTAAGTGTGCTTTTATGTGTTAGGCACAAGTCAACTAACTATTTGCAGATGAATGATTTTAATATAGGTCTATTGTACTGTAAGTTTTAGCTTTTATTGTCTATTCAACTTGAAGAGTTAAACTTATAAGTTGTTTCCCTCTACGGCTGGACTACAAGTTGATGTCGTTCTCCGTAATATACTAAATAATTCGATATACCATATTTTATTATTATGAAATTGAATTCTAACCTATTTCATTATTACAGAAAAGAAGAGTATCGAATCAGAAGAAGACAACAAAGTTAGCAATGGAAAACTGAAAAGAAGTTGAAAATATTATCAGGATTATTGTCGATTGTCGAACGTTGAAATTATTGGATGCGTTAACTTGCCCACCATAAAAAAATTTGGTATTTTTGCAATGTTTTTTCCTGGGCTATAACTGTCATTTTAGCATTTAGAAATAAGAAGCCGTTATCATCATTGTGTAAAATGAATTAAATTTAAAATTAGCTCATTCTTGAAAAACTATTTTATGAAAATTTTCAGCATTGTAATTGGCTATAAACAGCAGAATTGCACTTTATTATAGATTCACAGTGTAGGAATTTGTTGAACCATACTCCTGCCTGTGTAATAACATCCAAGATGAGGATTTCTGAAATTTGAATATTTAAAAATATACTTTACCCCTATACACTGATGTGTTATTTCATGGTGGACATTGTTTCCCATCTGTCATATTGAAATAATCATCAGTTTTATAAATGTAAATAGAAATGTTAGTTCGGTGTTTTTTCGGTGTTGCTCGCTATTCAGGCAATTACTACGCTTCGACAAGTCTCGAATTACTTACCTAATAAATATAAACGGAGGCCAAAGTTTTTTTTGTTTTGTTTTGAGTAATTGGGTGTTCACTCGAAGATGACTTTATTGTGGATATATAAATTTCTTTGGCAATGTTTTTTTTGGATTGGCTATTTTTGAATTTTGTTTATCGTTGTCGAGTAGATGGGAATGTAGGTTTTTGTGCTTCAATTCTAGCCTAGCCAATAAAACTTTCCTTATGAATATATTGATTTGATATTATGGAGTCTATGAGCGTTTTTCTTATCAAATTTGATGCGCGACAATTCTTTTGCGAAGGATTGGACTAAAATGTTTAAATTTTGCAAATTTGCATCTAGTCAAATTGTACATATTTCCAAATATATATCTGAGAATTTTATTCGAGAATTCATTAATTCTAATTGGAGGATCAATTGAAAAATATTAATATATTGATCTAAATTTTCGAAATGCATCTTTCGGCATGAGGTTTTTTATCGATTGAGCGACCCAGGGATGGTCGGGACCCAGAGTTCAAAGAGCCCAGCTCTTGGAAATCCCTGCTTGCTTGTACTATTTCTGGATACTCTATATTGTTAAGTTTTCTGTTTTCCATGCTAATACTTTTGCTGATTCAATGATATATAATGTTGAATCACTTTATATATAGCCATTATCCATTTTAATATGAGCTGAGCTAGCTAATTGGGGCTCAAAATAATTATGATGTTTCGTATTTTGGTGATTTGGTGTTGGAATTGTTCAACAATTTTCCTAGAAGCTAAGACAACGTTATGCTGATTCTCGGTATTATCAATGTCAATGGAAAACTTATATTCTGAAGAGCAATATGGCATTAGGTATATGGACATTTTTTTTTTTCATTTCAGTAGAACTAAGAGAAGGATTTTATTATTTACTTCCATATTTTGTGCCTTTATGTTGACATTCGATCAACTAATGTTACTTTCTAATTGAGATATATTTTGTGCCATAACCTGTATTGCTTGGAGAAATTTAAATTCCAAACTGTTAAGTATTTTAGCGGTGCTGTTATTCTATAGAAGCCATAATAATGATCATCAGGGTAGATGCTGGCTCAGTTTTCATTGGTTGAAGTTTGTCTGTTACGTGAGTTTTTGCTTGTGAATTTTTTGCTCACAAGAATGAATTCAGTCTACCACTTCGTACTCCTAATTTTAATATCTATGGATTCAACAATATTCAATGTGAACTAATTACAAATACCCAATACTGTATTTACACAGAAATAGTGATTCACTCAATACTACTAAAGCGTGAATTCTGAATGTAAGTAATTTGTACCCAAATTCTCTCCAGTAAACAAACTGGGTTAACTAGAGGGTGTGCCGCCATATTTGTGGCTTTTTGTTTAAGAATATATGTTGAGGAATATGTTGTTGTTTAACCGCAACCGATTTAAAGCCGACTTGCTCTGTGTTCATTGTGGCTGCCTGGGTGTGGGGGTGCTCCTGAAGTATGTGCACCAAGAAGTCGCATAACCAGAACCCTACCTGATGCTCAAGTTCAGGTTGTGCGCCATCTTGGTGCGCATACTTCAGGAGGTCCGGGGAAGGTCTCGTAAAACCTCAAAAATACGATCTCTGCACTATGGAAAAAATTTTCTCAAACCAGTGGAGCAGTGTGTACGTGAAGATGGCAGGTTGAAGCCGCCAGGAGGCCATTTCCTCAAATTTTTTTTCCAATGCCTCTGAGCCATATCAAGCGGGTTATTTCACTCGCGGTTTTAATGTATCTTCGGATAAGGACGTTTCTCCGACGCTTGAAAAATGCCTTCTACACTTCACAATTGCAAAATAATTTGCCGCCTCGTTTTAGAAAGTTCGCGCTTACAAACTCGCATGTTCAAAATTGTCAGTTTTATTAGAACCACAAATCCACACGCCGCTTACAGGTACTGACCGCTAATTTTGGCCTTTTTTTATTGCATCGTTTACGAAATTTGATTGGTGCAACTAAACTAGGTCCTCCGAAGGTATAATGACAACTAAGATTTACGACTATTTTCGAAAAACGGACAAATAACACCCGAAGTCGCGAAGAAACGAGGCAATGCTTGGAAATATGTCCGAGCGACTGCATGAATAACAATTGTTACGTCCTTGTTAACTTATTGCTGATTGGTCATTGTTACGTAACTAAACGAAGAAATCGTTGCTCTGAGAAACGTCGGTTTTACCACCACGTGACATTATTGTGACGTCAGACCTGATCGACATCTTTGCGAGTAGTCGAAACTTCGTTCAGAGAACGGATTTTCGTTTAATTAATACCAGGTCGACCATGACTGAAGTTTTGTCTGAAACACTGATAATTCAGGAGTATAAATGCTAGTTGGAGGAAATGTCTGTAGGTGCAAATAAAGTAGGCTCACTTGAAAACGTACCGGTTACATACTTCGTAGAGCATCACGAAACAAGCGAGCAACGCCCAAATATATGGACACAAAAGCCGAAACGAAATTTTTGCCCACAATTCCCCCCCAATATCATAGCTGGGACGATGAAGATTCACACTCCTAGTCTATACGAAATTTGAAATATCAAATGATCCGAGTCACAACTGTTTTATCAAATATTTGCAGCTCCCGTAACGTAGTTCACTGTACCCCAAGATAACTTTCGCTGAGCCCGAGATCCCCTGACATGCGGACGTGGAACCGTTACAAGGAAAATTTATTGACGTCACCACACAAAATACAACGTACAGAATGACAAAACGATCCATAGGTCCATTTCGTTTCCAATAACGTTTGTTAAAAAACCGACAAAATTAAATATATTCTTGCTACTTGGGATCGCAAATTCTAGTAGAAATATAAGGAGTAGTGCACATAGGTAGCGCAACATTTCATCTCTTTCTCTCATATCGATTTCTAATGCATGATTGTGTTAACTCAAATTTTTCGGAGTTGTACTTGCAAAATTTCTTTTTTCTTTTCACACTTCGATATAAATAGGAAAAAAACAACACTTATTGTCGCTTGGTGATTGACATTTTTAACCCAGTAAATTTGTCTTTTAAAATATTTGTTTGGAAAGCACTTTGCGATGTTTGAAGAGATGTTCAGATTTCTAGCTTGAGTTAGTTAAATATGTGTTTCGAAATATTGTCTGTCAACGTCCAGCCAGTTGACATTTGACACCACGGTGAGGATATTGGGCACTATTGACCTTAACACATGCCTAATGAAAATTTATCTTCTGTAGTTATTCATATATATTTAATAACTCGAAGTTGACATTCAATCGACACTTGTCCTCCACGAGTCTAGGGTCAAAGTTCACCAGGTCAAATTTAGTGATCAGCCACCCAGCATAGACCTAACTAGGCAAACGAACTATGGCAAACAAATACCCATATTTAACTTTAAAAGGCAATTATATTATTTGCATCTATCTTTCATATATATAAACTTATATGTCCGTCCAACTTTTAGCAAATTTTACTCGTACATTCCATGTATATTTGGCCTAAGGCGAATTGAATTGAAAGATTTTAAGCCGTTTTTAATAATCTTACAATTTTTTATGATTTTGTGAGAATATTCCTATATATATGGCTTCCTCGGGACATCGCCATTTTGCATTCATTCCAACCTTCGCTGTTTCTTCCGACGCCATCGTATTCCACGAAAGTCTTGGGCAATTCTCCTTCTATGACAGGAATGGCGAACCTTTTTCAATGAAGGGGTCAAAAATGATATTTTTATCACGGAACGAAAGAGTGTGGGTCACAGATATTTAATCAAGGTTTGAATCTATGAGAAACTTGCTGCTGCATATTATCTTACAAATCTTATAAACTTCAGTTGGTGCTGTGTAGTTTCATGTACAAAAACACGCATATGAATTACCAAAAACGTTTAGGATGATGCGGCAGATTATTCTATGCCGCTAAAGAGTTTGGAGGGAATTCCACTCCAGTGGCGTAGCCAGGGGGTGGATTTGCGGGTCGACCCCCCCCCCCCCCCCTTTTTTTTTGAAATGTAAAAAAATAAAATTATTTTTCTGTATCATAGGTAGCAATTTTCCATAGCTTGAAATGCTTTTTAGACCCTCAATACTACTAAAAACACGTGTATGCCATCATTCGATCGAACCCGCTAGCTGTTTCGATTCAACTTGGCAAAAAAAAAATTTCAGACCCCCCTCCTTCAAAAATTTCTGGCTACGCCCCTGTTCCACTCTGATAGAGTTATATCTTTCGATCGGTTTTCAACCACATTTAGACACTTTCACACTGCCCCATTGTTATTTCGGATTTCTAGATCTTTATTTTTTAAGTCTAAAAGATTTTGTTTTCTCAACGGCATTGCAGGCGGGAAACTAATAAATGCAAAATAGCATTTAGTTCTCGCAAACCCCCAATAACAATCTGCAGTGCATTTAGGTTCATGTTTTTCCGAATGGGAATGCTGTAACAAGACGTTGTGAGAAAAGAACAGATCGATTGTATTGTTTCGTCATAAACGATGTCACAGCCAATAGGTGCATAACGGTATACAGGGGTGAACACGCGCGTCCAAGATTGGGAGTTTTGAAAATACCCTACCGCTCAGGAAATTTGCATTTGAGCGTATACCAGTTTACTTATTATTAAATTTAGTTAGAGCCGGTTTTATCAAGTTTACCACTTATATGGTAGTATGTTTTTAATTCATTCGCGCCTTGGCGGGTCACCGAAGAAACGCAGTGGGTCACTTTGTGATCCGCGGGTCAGTGGTTCGCCATCCCTGCTCTATGATAATCGGAAATGCGTGGTATAGCCCGTTGTTGATTGTTTATCAATTCTCAAAACCTCCGTCTAGAAATGTGATGTTTGAGTCCAATTTCACATTGTAACATTTCGGAACATGATGTGTACACTGTATTATTTTGAGAACTTATCCCTGTTCAGGAATGGGTCAAAAAATGAATGCGTTTTTAGCATGAAATATGGTGTTCCGTCACGAAAACCCGTCATTTTTATACTCGGCTTGTTTTTCCTCTTTGTGTCAATAATCAGGTTAAAAAAGTAAGGAGTAACAAATTTTACTCTCATGCATTGCGATACCACTCATCCTGCAGGATTTAACCCCGGTTTAGACGTTGCATACACATAAAATATTCTTAAGGTCTGTGACAGAAGACATGGCGTCTAAATTTAACGTGAATAAGTAACATTGGAATTTCTAATATTTTGCTTGGGTAGGATTAGCTTAAGCTGTGTAACGACTTTTCAATATAGGATCCAGGTGCCAATGTTATGTCAAAATTTATCGTTTAGGGATAGAGTTCTAACTTTTAAAACCGCAAGTTTAATGGATGACACTGTTGTTTTAACTGAGATAGACTACTTTCTAATCTATATCATTAACTGGGAATGAGAATTTGGACCACAATTAATTTGTAAAGCTGTATTTACCAGAAAACCTTTAATAAAGGCTTGAAAGTAGTAAATTGAGTTAAAAAATCAAGAAGGTAAAGTTGTTGGTTAATCCTGTATCCACAAAAACATTTTACATTGCTGAAAATCTTGTGCCATTTGTCAACGGACAAATAATTCTGTCACAATTTCCCGATGTGAAACTTAGTCTGCTGATTGTTTACTTAATGCATAACTGTGGATTTTTGATACCTTTGTGTACAAAGTAATCTCCTTATCCGCTTACTGTCCGGCAATGCTAAATGGATTTGCTACCAAAATAAGGCGAACCACGGCCCCAGAGGGATTTTTTGACTCAAGTTACAACTTATGGCGGGCCCTTTGACGCATTATTGCCATGTTGTTCAGTACGTTTATTATAAAATGAAAGTGCGCTTCTTGGAATTTAAGTCTTGCCATGCCGAGTCCAGGACTATGAGGCAATCGCATACTTTACCGATGCGAGAAAAAATAATACGAGAGTTACGTGACACGCAGGTAAATTATTTCCATCAACGGTGCACACATCGCTGAATCAAAACTGTAATTCAGGACCCTCCATTGTAATGCAGATTTTAGATCAATTCTCCGATCTGAGCTCTCATAACAATCTTTATAATATATAGGTTCTGTATACATATATAGGAGCTGCTTTTCTAAGGACCAAACTTTCTTTTGACACTATTTACTTGTTTGTTGCGTTTTAGCACCATGATAATGGGAGCATCCTGGTAACCTTGGTTGTTGAAATGATTTGAATCAGGTTACCTACAATTCCACAGTGCGTTTTGTCTAATTTAATTTATTGCGAAGAAATTATTGATAAACTATCACGCTAAATTTATTTAAAATTTTCAAAATATCATAAAATCTTTTATATATATGTTATCTGGACTAAATGCCGAAAGGTAAATATAATCTATATGCAAAGCCAAACTTTTTTCACGAAAAAAATGATTCTGGTATTTTCATGTGATTTTTCGTGCAATGTTATTTTAGTGACCAAAAATAGTGACATCGCGTGATTTTACTCATTTTTCATTTTATGGTCTATCGAGTATTTAGGGGGGAGTTTCATGTTGCTCGCTCACGTATCATTTAGACGCTCACATCCCCTATTGCACCCACACACGTTGCCATTTTTCTCGAGTCATGTATCTTTTAGTGAACAGAAACACAGAAACGCTTGGTGTACATAGCGTTGAAAATTGGGTACCACTCGATTTAGCAATGTGTTTAAAATGTTTTTTTATTTTTTTTTTATTTAAAATGTAAAATAAAAAGCACTTCGCAGAATAGCATTTCGTGCTGAACAATGGAAAATCTGTCACTAAAATGTTGTGAAAAAAAATGTTACTTGAGAATGAAGAATCAAAAATTTATTTCTACCGGGTCAATATTGAGGTCTTACCTATACTAAAAATTAGCTATGAAAATTTTTGTGCATGGTGACTCCTTTGGTGCCCTAAGCACGTGTCTATTTTGCTAGATGATTAATTCAGCCCTGGCGATTAGTTTTAAACAGTCCATTGTCCCATGAGTTAGCACATGTATGTCAATTCAAAGGTAAACACGTTAAAGATATTTTTGTGATATGAAACTCGACTCGATAAAAACAAGTCGAACAATGTTAACTAAATTCGGCTTTTTCTCGTGATATGAGGTGCAGATTGCATAAATTCCTAAACATCAATAATACAAATACCATAATTTTATTTATGGATATGAAATAACCAAATGAATTTTTTTTTTCGTTTGCGCGCCTCAATAAAAAAGTGTAATTATTCTTAAATGTTGGGCAAATTATAACGTTAAACAATTCTATATATCGGATTTCCCACGGTTCATGTTTTGAACGAAGGTTCGGCAGCCATTGTATTTACCCTCTTTCAATTGTTTACTTAGTGTCAAAATCAGGTATTTTGTTTGATATTTAGATAAATACCTTCCTATCATTGTCAGACATTTTGGTTTCGCCTCGAGAGAATTGACACCGAGCGTGTCAAGGCATGTGCCCGGCCTTATAAATAAGATACAATCGGTGTATTGTGTTGTTTTTATACCAATTCGGAAGCTCTTTAAGCTATGGCGGGACGACCCTGATCAGGCGAATCGAAACGAATGTTACAATTTGACCTATGACCCTGCATGACAGAACGATGACCGATAAATGGCAAATCGCAACAATGTTGTAATGGCTGTTGTGGGCACGAAAGTCGTTTCATGCAAGAACTGGATCAATTGTTACGATAAGTTCACGCTTATCCTCCTCGTCTTCGCTAATCATATTTGATCCGAGCATGATCCTGATTGAATTATCGTATGACTGCAAAAGCAAACGATGTAGGTGAATTTCGAATCCGCAATTCAGCGTGACACGGGTGACAGGTACTACTTGAAGTTGATTTCAACCATATCGTTATCTTTCATCGACCACTGACCACCTCAAGCCGTCTTTTCCCCTTTTTTGACCGTCCATCTTTCGATGTACATCACCCATAACCTGCATAGCATACACCTTCGTTTTGTTTAAAAGTGTCTAGGCGGGATTTATGTGCTCACTTAATCACGAATATCATGTCCAAATATAAAAGTAAAACCAGAAGTCATTATCGTGGTTGGATACGGTAGTCGAAATGCTCAACTGCAAACGTCGGCGGTTGGGATGAAGTAACATCCCCACGTTTGTCCGCATAGTTAAAGCTAAATTAAGCGTTTAAATTTGAGTGACGTAGCGTGACGCCTATAGCCCCGTTTTAATCGTAGATTACCGCACGTTGGTGGGAACTCATCATGTAAGCCACTTTGTTTGGTCTAACTTATTGAAGACCTGGCGCCGCACGCAGATCATAATTATTGAGCTCAAAGATGAGGCATTTCATGTCCATGGAAAATTTTATGATTCATCCCCGACGAACGCAATTTGGCTGTCCGGCACTTTCAATCAACTTACGTTGTACACCTTCGCTTCAAGGTTCAAATCTACTGCACCAACGATTACATCTGTTCGAGGTGGTTTCCAATGTCGTCAGGATTGAAGGTCGAGTGGGGTTTGTAGAAAACGCGGAAACAGAAGAATTTTATTGTATTTTATCGTTTTTAGTATTTATTCAAACATTCAGGCAAATCGTCTAAAAAGTTGCAATCTGAAAAATGCGACGTTTTTATGCATTCGTACTTACACTATTTGTTTCCACGTATTGCCTGAGCCCTAAGGAGTAATCATCACTTCGTATCAACCGCATTTTTGTAAAAAAAAACGTGCTCAATGAGATGAACACAATCAACCATACACTACATCTGTAGTTGTAATTAATCTAAACTCAGTTTAATGCAGTCCAGTATTCACAAAATAACCGACTTGTTTACTTTTAGATACGATTTAATCTCATTTTACGCCGATTAAAATATATTATGTTACAGTTTCATGATCCTCGATTAGGTTTTTTCACCAAAAGGAATAACACTCAAATATTTTATAAATCCCGAATCTATATAGTCGTCAAAGAGGCGTTACTGACACGTTGACTCATTTAATCTGACTTTTCGGTTCATTAGAAGCGACTATCCCTATTTGTTGACCGTCCCGATTACAAGGGGTGTCAAGTCCTATCTTTATATAAAGAATGCTATCAATTACTTTCGAACCCCAAGTGCGTATCGACCAGTAATTGGCTCAATGGTATTTTTATAACGCTGTAACAGAATCAGTATCATTTACACGACATTTTCAAGTAATCGAAAAAAAAACATTTTGCAATATAATTGTATTTTAGGTGGCGCTGTAATATACCTGCATCTAGTAATTTGAAATACCAAAATGGTAATTAACGGCAGCGATGTTTATAGAATTTTACATATGGTACAAACAAAACGCAATCGTAATGAAAAATATATATTAGTAATCAATGAGCCGATGAACTTGGAATTGTAACCAAAAGAACTCTAAACGAGAAACCGTCTGCACGTTTCTATTCTCTGTAAACTTCTCTTATGCTTCATTTTAATTTTGTTAAAATATTTAAAACCAATGGAAAATATAAATTTTTGCTGAAACAATGCCAATAGGAGCAGACGAAGTCAGAGGACCGACAACAAGCAAAATCAACTACTGCTGTTTTGTCATCACATGCACGCAACATGGGAGGTCCTTGATCATTGTCTTGTAAAAAACGTTAATTTTTGATGCTGTTGATGATTGTTGTTTATGGCCATATTGGTGAGGTATTTACTTGCATAGAGGTTAAAGAAAATACATATATATATATCTAATTTGTAATTCCTTGATTGATTGAGCAAATTATGCCTATACCCTATGCATAAAGATATTCTTCGTTGCTTTTGGTATGAAATAAAGACGATGAGTTACAGTGAGATGTCGCGCACTTGATCATGTAAATATTTGGTGCTTTTTAGGGTAAATTTTAACCCTAAAATCAAATTATTATTTAAGCGAGTACATGTCGCATACGTGCTGCTCATCCAGAAATTATGGTTGGGCCGAGATTAGTGAAAATCATCTGTTAAACATCATATTGAAGCAAATTCAATAATATTATTGTTATATACTTTGCACGGGCACACTTTGATATAAATATATTATGTATAATTCTATCTCTCCCATGTGACGACCCTCAGTCTCGAAAAATCAAAATTTTGATGTCTCACCAATTGTCCTTTCGCGGATTTCCAACCATTTCACAAAAAAAAATATTCGAAAAAAGTATTAAAAACTTGAACGATTTTAACTCGCCAACATTTTGCTAAAATTTTTCATTCTGTTTTTTATTTCTCGAAGAAGACAGATTTAAAAAAAAATGTTAACTGTTGATTGATATCATTATATTCACAACAGAACTGTCAGAAATTTATTTACAGCATAAATATATCAAGAAAATAGATTATTGTGTATTAAAGACTTGAAGATCAGAAAAGCTTGACATTTATGTTTTACCAAAGTTTTTTTGTAAACATGTGAGTAAAAATTGAAATAGAACTTTTGGAACATAAGAATGCATTCCTGTTTCTTCATTCCTATCGTTTTGACCAACGCTAACTTTCTGTTTTACACACAACTTCAAAAAATTAGGAACAATGTTCTGTTTATACTCTTTACACTCAGTGTCCGTCTTTTTTTAGGAAGATTGACCTGATGATGACTCTGGACTTGTATCTGACTTGAATCCATCTGATTGGCCTCCTCTCCCGGGTTGAGACATGTTTATAGCGTTATTATGAAACGATGCTAGAAAAAAATAAAAATAGGCATTATATTCTGAGAACCGATGTTATGTCCTAGTGTTCAAAAATGCGCTGTATGTTTTATCGCCAATATTGCTGTACAATGCTAACGTCCAGAAAATTTTGATTTGAAAGATTTAAAGAAAACTTCGATAAGATAAACTTATTAATGCTACTACTATGTAAATTATCAATTTAAAGGATCTATATACACATAAGTATCCACAGAGTGCGCTGTTTAAAAATATAAAATTGTGAAGAAAAAATAGATAGAGGTATTTGATTTTTGTTTTAGTGTATAAATCATATAATAGCGTGATTATTATTTATCATTATTTGCTTCCAAATAAAAATTAGTATGCAACAACAACAATTTTCTTTTCATACACGCACATTGTCGTAATTAGTGGTTGTCAATATGAACCTTTTTTCCGTCATTATCGAATAAGTCATTAATAGTCCAAACCCAACGATACATAAAAATTATCCACGTACTGTGAAACGTGAAAATAAAAATTTTCTTTTTCGGCGAATCTCAATTTACCTAAAAACCCCAATTAATTTCTTACCTGAGTAATTGTAACGATATGGCGGATAAACCAAATTCTCTCGCTGGTTTTGAAGATCATATTGAACATACGGAGGAGGTGTGTGTGTTTCTTTTTTAACTCTAACACCGTTATCCCATCGTTTAGTATTAGTATCCTTCATCGAAGCAAATTTAATATACGGGTGTTGTCTTGAATTACGAAACATAGCACTAAACGTTTCTGTATCATTGTTACCGTTATTTGGAATTCGACGAGAATAAGATTTATTTGTATATTCGTCTGCGTAATTGAACATAGAATTTTGTTTTGACATTGTTTGATTCCAAGAAATAATATTCGCATTTATGTCAGAATTTGGTGAGGATGATAAATCATTTCGGTGATCATAACAAGAACTCCGTTCGATAAAAAATTTTCTTCTCTCTTCCTCGATTTGACAATCAAAAGGAGAAACAATATTACTTCGCGGTGAAAATTGTGAAACATCAGTCGAGCTAGGCCTACTTGAAACTTTAATTGGTGTCTCGTTCGTCTGGGCTTTCATACAGGATTGAAATCTTGTGGCCGCACATGAGGGTAGTAACGATTCTTCATTTTCATAATTATGTTCCAGATCACCATTCTGTGTAGAAAGAGCAGACTCCATTTTGATATCATTTCTCGCTGTATTATGTTCTCTAAACGCGCAGGATCGTAAAATATTATTACTTGCGTTTTGTGTTGAATGGGAATTATCGTTGCTATCAATACGGCCTTCATTTTGTTTTTGAGTGTCTGTTCCAGATGACTGTTCAGTGGATTTTTGTTCTATTTCGTTTGTTTTCTTTTCCTGTTCTTCTGCCTTTTCTTTATCATTCTTTTTACCATTTCCTCTCTTTTCGGGATCGAATCCAAGTATGGATTGTAACTGCTTGATGTACACGATTGCCCCGCGCAATGTTTCAACCTAAATGATTTTGTTTTTATATATATTTGTGTGTCTTTGTATAAAATATATAACGGGCATTGCATAATTAATCGAAGAAAAAATCTGCCACCAATAAAACGAATTGAGCAGTAAAAAAGCGTACAATTGATCATAAATTTTAATTAAAAATAATAGCGTTATATTTCCATGTTGGTATAACATATTTTTACTTTTACCTTCTGTTTATTTTTTCTTTAAAGTATTGATCGAAAAAGTTCAAAAATTTTCGCATTTGAATCTTCCATATGAATTAATCTTACTTTGCTTAATCTCTTTTCCGCATATTCTTCTGGCAAATGTTCCCGCAATCGTGCATATCCTTCGTTGACACATTTCACTCTTTGTCTTTCCCGTTCATTTCTTTTCCTGATAAATGCAGGCTCAAAACTGTAATCGTACATACCATACGCTGCCACTGCGGCTGCATGAAAAGGTAAATACGGCAATCTTGATGCAAACGCCGCTGGATTTGCAGCATATTTTGGATCCAAATAACTTTCAATACCAGTGCCGTAAGGGACAGATGCTGTCGGGTGATATCCGTATTGGTCACCGGAAAATCCAGCATCGTGATAAGCGGGTGATTGGTAGCAAACGTCGGCGTAGTCCTGATAAAATTGTTGATACTGGCCGCCTTGGTGATGGTAATGTTGCTGACCGCTTTGCTGCTGATGTGATTGCATCGACAAAGCCGCCATATGCATTTGATTCCCGTAATGGTGATCCATTCTAGAGTTATTCTAATTTATTTATCAATGTACAACGCACAATTTGCTAAATATGAAGAAAAAAAAACGATTTTTATGAATATGCGATAAATATGTAGCAAGCTACTCTGTAAAGTGTAGTTTCATTTTTCTGTGAGGCATTTTACATTGGGGCTTTGAGGAAGGCGACAAAAATAGGTGCAATGATCAATATTTAATTATGGGAAGACTGAAATTTTCCGATTTGGCATCGCCTATCAAATTTATTGTATATTAGGTGCTGTGGAGGTCATGAAGGTTGGAACTCGGATTCTGCGACTATCAACTCAGATTTAACGTGCTAACAAGGTAGCCCATTGCGCCCAACAACAAATTGCTAGTTTTACATTGCTCAATCCGTAAACTATGGATAATTTTTCGTCAGAATAGATTGAGTTTCAAGAAAACAGGTTTAAATGCCAATTTCAATCGTGGGAAATTTTTCCGGGTTAACGAAAGTACAACGTACGGATAAAGTACAGATGGCAACAATTTTCTTAGAGGGCGTGCCCTCAAGTTCAATATCAAAGGGATTATTACTCGTCGGTAATTGAAAATTCAAAAGTCTACGTATCCGCTTCCTAATACGTTGGCGTTCGTGCAAAATTTAGATTCATTTTGTTGCTATTTCCCCCCAAATGTCGCGAAAGTTTCATTTTTATTGGAATCTGATAGTTTGGATATTCCGATTTTTTTTTTTGGAAAAATACAACCGGAACAATAGTGAAAAAAATATGTGAAAACAATTTCTGAATTAAACTATTAATTATGTAGTCAGGATAAATGATTTCCATATTTCTTTAAATTCGTATAACATTTATAGTAACAGATTCATATTCCGATGAATCGGAATCACATTTTGATATATTTAAAAATCTAATTATTTGCGTTCATAATACCCGATGGATGGATTGGAGAAATAAAATTTATCAAGTGCAAGTTTACTTGAAGATGTTTATTTAAAAACATTGTATTTGATTCAGACTGAGGAAAAAATGAAAAAATAAAAACAAAAAATATTGAATATACCAATTTTGAGATTGCTGTGAGCCAAACACTATAGGATATAATATTAAAACTAGATTTAATTTAAAAAAAACGAAATAATGTAAAACTATTCCTTATGCTCCGTGTATTAAAGCAATTTAGTTTTAAAATATTTAATTAAATAAGTTATTTAATTAAAATCTGTCTCATATCCCAGTAGATAATCTCGTCGAATAATTTTCAATTGAAAATATATTTATGAAATAACCAATAATTTTTTTATTGAAGTTGTAACTTCAGGCGTGGTATTATTTACCTGTTATCCATACATATCCTGATTACTAATACAACCCACCTCTAAAAAAATTTTCAATGGAACTAATATTCAGTATATATATATATATATTTCTTTTTTAAATATATATAATAAATATAAAATAATATATAATATAAAGACGCTCGTCTGCTAATCTGATTGTACTGCAGTAAATTATATTGTAAAATTCATTCATTTTATTGCAGTGTATATATATTCCGGAAAGGTTTATTTTCAGTTTCCTAACAAGTGAAATTCAATATGATGTTAATATAATATATCGGTGAAAATGGCACACTCCACCCTACGATAATTTTTCATTCCTTCTTCCTGATTTATATTTCACGAAATGAAACGGCATCTGTTTTGTTTTTTATTAAAAGAAGTGCTAAATAATAATAAAATATCGACAATATAGAATGTTGATGTCTTACACAACTTCCTCTGTGTTTATTCACCCAAATCTATCCATTATTGCTTTGATGTATGACACCAAAAAGAAAGATTCACACTGTTAAAAAATAATTTAAGTTGTGTTTAATTTAGCGGTAATGATTGATACTGCTGTAAAGTTAAATATTTGCAAGTAGACTGATATGTCCTTTGCAGTTAAAGTTTTGGAACACTGCAGTTTGGAATGTACGTCAGTGTACATTTGAAAAACGAAATGTCGGTACTGTTTCAGTTGTAACCTTACCGGACATGTTTCATTAAGCTCATTGTTTTGACCATAACTGTACTGATGGCTATCGATTTTTCAAAGTACCACTGTGTGCGGTTAAAATTGATATTTTCTTAGTATTTTCTTCGTGATTAATCCCTCGTTCACACCTGAGTATTGTAGTCGCATAAACATACGTGAATAAAGTAACGTTAGTGGCTTTGTTCCACATGGTCACCGGCGGGCGTCAAGAACAAAAAGCAAACGTATTGAACATTAAAAGAAAACCATATCACCGGCTTTCTTTTGTGTGCCATCATCATTTTTGTGCCCTGATGACCTGCAACCTCAACCCCCCATTTCGCTGTGATTTTTGTCTCCAAAATTGACGTAATTAGATTGAGTGTTAAGTGGTACCATCTCCTCACGTGTCGGCTCCGTTTAACTAAATATTCTGGTAGATTTGACCGCGAACGAGGCGAAATTTTGCTTTCATAGTCGCGGCTAATGTGAAGCGAACAACACGCCCTAACCTTTTAATGTATTTTGTACACACACAAGGTCGCATCCAAACTGATTACAAGTCAACAACAACGCATTGTTACATTATTTTCAAGAATATTAATCATTTCACTCTTCAGTCGGTCACTTTCCCTGTAAAAATATTTTCGATGATATTTTTTTTGCAACCAAAAGTTGGGTTGATCACTTTGGATGCCAACGTCAATCAATAGTAATCATACTTATTACAATGTTAAAAACTTTGTACAGCCCAACCGATGCTGGAGTCAATAAAGTACTTTTCAGTAAACCGTTATAGAATCGTTCACTGTGGAATTGCATATTGAGAGTTTGAAAATTTCCTTACTTCCCAGACTTATATTTCTGTTTGAGTCAACCGAACAATCGAAAATAAAATCGTCAAATTTTCGAATTATTTGATTATTATGACATCAGAAAGAAACATAGATTTGTAATGGACAAACATAAATTTCAAGTATATATCGAATGAAACTCCAGCATTACCAAGTCGTGTTTTGAGTTGTTTCGTCAATTGTACGTCGTTGTTATGCAATGCATGAATGAACTAATCACCGTAAATGACAACAAACAAAATCTTAAACAGTATACAGTACAAAAGAAAAGATAAATATAAGTTTTTAAACGATAAATATACTTCGATTTTAAAATTATCCGGAATAGAAATTCTATTTCTACCGAAGTTAGTTACTCCCTGAAATAGCGATTCCAAGTGGATTAATTCAAAATTTAGCTATTTTCCAATACCAACATAAAATGATTATTAGAGCAATGTTACCCCAGAACGCCAAAAAATTAGAAACACGACCATTTAACGCAAAATCACGTTTAAAATATCTTGCCCTTGGTATCGATTTCTTTCTCGGGTGGGGCTAAAAACTAGATCTGTGATACTCAGGTCAATTTACCAATTTTCAAACTTGACGCTCCTCGAAAAAGCCTCATGTTTTGTCCTTGGATACGGTTCAAATATCATCAAAAAAGTGCTGGAAACTACTTTCTGTATTTGGTGTCACAGATTAGATTTAACTAAATATAAACAAATTTCGAGGATTTGGCATAAACTTCAAGACTAATTTAGAAACATAAAGTTTATGTGTAGATATGGTGTTGAGAGAAATATAAACAATATTTTCAAAATAGTGTATTCCACAGGATGTATATTTCAGAAATAGTACCAAAGTTGTGTTGATGAAAACAAATTTAAATATATCATTTAAAATGGAATATATATTTAATGATGACGAAACCTTGTTGCTTATTTCACTAATATTCTAGCAACCAAATATAAGAGATAATCATCGAAACTCATCTGATTAACGACGTAATTATAAATGAAATTACAGCACTTTTTATCAACATTTTTTTCTTTCTGATGACAATAAATCTATAGAAACGCCTAATAAAATACGTTCCTGTGACCTCAAAGCATGTATATCTTGACCCCATTCGCTTCGCTACATTTAATTTGCAACAAACTGGGATAACAGTTTGAGGAGTTCCGGGTCGTCGTGGAAAACAAGAGGACTTGCAACACTATACTTTTCATTGAGATTGATCTATGATACGACCGCGTTAAGTTAAGATGGGTCAATGAAAATCGCATTTAATGATTTCCATCCATATAGATGTCATTGTACACGACGGCCATGACTAGTTCGTTCATCCGCAGGTCGGCTATCTATGTACGCCGCACTTAGCAAACAACATGACACAGTATATTAGCTAAACGATTCACTTTGGAAAAACGATTTCACATAATGTATGTTGGACGCATAGGAAATCTGTTGCTTCGATTTGCACGCCATGCAGCCCAGACATATCAAACGAAGGAAAATGTTTCTGCTGCAAACATTTCTTGTTTATATGTATCTTGCTGATTCGAGGGAAAATACAACTTCAAGGTTACGTGACGCACGAAGATTTAACCTTATCATTATCACCATAATCTTGCATAATGTCCTAGATATCTATGTAAATAGTACGAGGAAGAATACGGCACTATTATACTGGGGTGCGTTATCAAATATGCATAATAAGTTGGAACCTTTTTTAACTTTCTAACAATGTAAAATATATCAATCTACTCGACGATACCCAAAAGTTAATTTGACTTACACTGATACAAGCATTCACATCTTGTCCCCCTTCTCGAAGTACACTATCTTCTTGTAGGACTACGTATTTACTGCATCCAATACACCTTTTCTTTTGTCACATTCTTGTTTTATAAAAATAAAAACTCATGAAGGTAAACAAAACGTTTCATCCACAGCATAAAGACTAAAGTGCCGTTTGACTATGTATGTGTCGCAAAAAAACAACAGAATAAAAATTATACATTTCCTTATTATAACTAACTAGGCCTAGTCTATAGAAATAGTCCCATTGCTGTAGAACGTTCTGGAATTTCTCACAATTACTGCATTTTTGAAATGTGTGAGAGTAAGTAGGCAGAGAAGCACTTTACGCGCAGTG